ACAAGTATTACGTGAAGTGAGAGTAAGTTTAGTTAAACCAATAAATACGTTATAGTACCTTTATTAAAATAAAATATTCAGTTAATAATTTGCGTTATTTCCAATATTATCAGAAATATATTATATAAAGAATGTAGGTATGATAAAAATAAAAATATTTGATTTGAATATGAATAAAATAAATACTGAATTAAGAATAACATCTAAATTTAGTTTCGAATAGGAGCTATAGAAGATCCAGGGTGTGGAGAGAGAAGGCAGGATTCCAGTCACCTGCTTAGTGAATGTCCAATCTTCCATAATTATAGTAAGCAGCAAAACATTGAAAGAAGCATCTATTTATGTTTATAAACAGTAAGGACTCATATTTCAAATTTAAGAATTTTTGTAAATATATCAATGCTTTTCTCTCGAGGTTGAAATAAAACCTTAATTGCTAACTATGTATATATTTGTATTTGTTTCATTGGTTATTTTGTTGTTTTTTTTTTGGTTTCAATTGTTTCTGTCAAATATTTCTCTGATTTTGGTGTTGTTTCTTGAAGCAAGCATCCTTTATGGGGATATCGCGTCTGATTTTATAATTAATAAATCTAAATATTTTTCTCAAATTAAAGTATTCTGAATAAGATATTTATTGATTTTATATATTCGCTTACCTATTGATTCATCTGACGCATCTAGAAATTTGGTTCAATATTAATATTGTAATATATATGACTGGATATACGTATATATGGAAATTATAAGTTTTATATAATTTAAATAATTTTAAAATGAAATAATATATAATTTTCGTATATATTGAATAGAATAGCTATAATTATTATTTATTTATTTCAATTCAAAACGTTATGTCCCCCTAGGGACACTTGCGCTAAATGTACATACAAATATAACAAAAAAAATATTCAACATGGAAAGATACACATAAAGCGACTTAGAAAGATTCATAAATATTATTTACATATAGATATATTCTTTGAATTTTATTTACAGTTACATCATTAAATTTAAATATATATACACACATATACACGCATACACCTATATATTGTTTACAACCACAAGATATGTCCAATATTTCCTTGAGATCGTTACATCAAAGACCATTTTTCTTAATGAAATCCAAAATATATTTACAAAGGAAATTAAATTTTATATATGTGTTCTTACTTGATATTAAATCACTAGGGCCTAAATAATAAGAATAAATACTATAATTATAAATATTTCAATCATATTTTGTATTCTCCAAATACCTATATTATTGGTTTAATTGAATATTTCTATGATTATTACAATTATAATGCCATAATAATCGTTCAATATATTCACGAATTAAAATTATTTTGAATAAATTGGGCTAATTAGATTTAAAAATATATTTTTTTTTCTATTTCAGAAACTGATTCAAAATATTTTCTTATTGCCTTCAAGATAAAAGAAAATAGCTTAATTTTAAAAAGAAAGTGTTCAGGAATATTTTTATATATTCATTTTTGAAAATAGAGCAATCCATAAATAAATATTTAAATAAAAAGGCATAATATATTAAATCAAAATATCATTTATTTTACCAATATTTTAGTTGGCTGAACGCCAAACCTTTTCGAAGTATTATAGCATATTAATGTTTGTCATTACATTAAAAACCTTAATATTAATATGGTATAATACCTTGATAACCTATATATATTAGCAAAGACTGAAAAATACAAATATTTGTTATCTTATTACTAATTACAATGCCCTATTATATAGAAAAAGTTTATGAAGCGATTGGTATCGAATCACTAATAACCCATATTCTTTAAAAGACTTCTAATTGCATTAAGGTCACTGATAAAATGTTTAATTTAAAAATGAGACAATATTCTACATTTATAATGAAAGTTATATTTTAATATTATATTTTACTTCAAGAGCTCACTATTACCTTTGGATTCTTCAGAAGATTTAGAAGTGTCTGAAATAAATATTTTAATGTATTCAATTCAATATATAAAATTTAGTTCACAATTGGATAAAATAATCCCTTGAATCAATATTAAAGCAAGAACATTAAGCCTCCAGGGAGAAGTTTTTTAAAAATATTTTTTAGTTAAAAATCTCTCAAGCTTTCGGGCAAGAAATGTATATATAATATAGAGATATATATACAACGTTTACCACCGAAGAATATTTCTTAAGTATACTCCCTTTTCCTGTCATCAGATTAATCACGCAATTTAGAACCCTTTCAATTTTTTTCAGAGAACACCATCTGATATTAATGAGGGGTGAAGACCTGAAATGTACTTTCTGTGGATCAAGAATAACAATGGAGATGTTGCACTACTTATTTGATTGTGCTGCTCTGTCTGATGAAAGACGAAAACTAAATGATAAAACGGGGCAACTTTGTCCTACATTTCCGGCACTAATTAATGAAATATCAAAGAGTAGGTATATAGCGGTGGCGATATTTGGATTCCACAGGATTTTATCCCGGAAAAAGGCCAAGCAGTGTTCTCCCCATCCCTTGTGAACTGGCGAATCCTGTATAGGGCGAGAGGCCCTAAATAAAGGTTTTGTTGTTGTTGTTTTGAAATCTATATATAATTAAAACAAATGTAAACAACAAATCACTTTAGTTTTAAATCTTATTTTATTGGCGTTTTAATGATGTTAGATATTTTTTCCCGTAGAAGGGCTTACTTGCCCGAAACCTTGAGAGATTTTTAAATAAAAAATATTTTAAAAAGAAACTTTTCCCTGGAGGCTTAATGTTCTTGTTTTAATATATATTTTAAATATAAAGTAACGAATAATATATATAGAATATACTGAAAGATAG